GACAACGACAGTGTACACTGAGAACGTGCCACCCATAGGAAGTGTCAACATTTATGCATGACAAGGCAACACGAGCCAGAGGCTGCGTCTCAAATCAAGCCTCGTTCTAATCACCTGGGCGCTAAAATGCACCCTGTTCACTGCATAATTAGATTAGATTAGATTAGATTCAACTTTATTGTCTATACTGTGCAGAGTTCAGGTACAGAGCCAATGAAATGCAGTTAGCATCTAACCTAATATACATATAACTCTAATCATAATATTATTTAGATGTGCTATTGTGTAACTATATCAGAGAATGTCTAGCGCACTGATGAAAGCCCTGTCCAGCGTACAAAACAACACACCCCCAAAATGCACTCTCTGCCATTTGAAGACAACAGGTCTGTCCCAAATGGAGCCCAAAGACCTGAGGGTCTCATCCAAGTCCGCCCTTGTCAACAATGTGCAGCTGGACAGGGCGAGAGTCCTCAGAGGCACTTGGTTTAAAAGTGTGCATTTGGGACAGACATACATACATCATCTAAACCACTTATCCTTCTGGGTCGCTGGAGCCTATCCCAGCTGTCATTGGGCGGAAGACAGGTCGCCAGTCCGTCGCAGGGCAGACAGACAGACATTCACAGTCACACACACACACACACACACACCTAGGGGCAATTCAGTATGCCTGCATGTTTGCGGACTGTGGGAGGAAACCGGAGTACCCAGAGGAAACCCACACAGACACCCCACAGAAATGACCCTGGTCACCCGGCCGGGAATCGAACCCAGGCCATTCTTGCTGTGAGGCAACAGCGCTACCCACTGCGCCACCGTGCCACCCCATATGTAACACGCTGTGGAAAAATTATATTATCTATCATATTTCTTTTTTCAAACGGCTAGTTTTATGCTTGCAATGCAGATTACAAGCATAAAGGCCCAGTCAAGCTTAGCTTTTTCCACTGAAATCGCACTTTTAACATTAAAAAAAACAAAGTTTGGAATGTACGAATGTATGAATGTAAAGTTTAGTACTACTGAGAACTTTTAAGCAAAGTGCAATACTTCTGTACTTGAGTAAAAGTTAAAACATTAGGAGCTAAGTAAAAGTGCTGTGTCCAGGGTAAATATGAAACTCACGTACCCATTAAGCACACAACCATCTTTGGGCTCAAATTACTTCAAGAAAAAATAACATATTTTACCTCATTTCATGTATTTGTTGCTACACACTTCCTGTAATATTACGCCAATCAGAGAACCTCGAAGAAATGGCTGTCCATGTGTTTGCACTTGCTGGCGGATATTTTGAAAGCTGAGTCCTGAAAACTTTCGATGTTTTAACCTTTATTTTCGGGTTTCACCACTTTGTGCAAACTTGAAAGATTAATGTATGCTACAGTGCATAATTAGCATGCTAGCCATATAAGATTGTGTGCTACACCAGTACTACATTACAGGTATTATCATAAATTTCCAGTTTATTGATGGTCAATAGTTGTAATTTGCCTTTGGTTTTGTAAGTTATCACTAGCAGTAAACTTTACAAGTAAATTCTGAACTCTGATGTTCTTTAAACGCCGTTAAATTAAATTTTATCTATATTTATACTTGAGCACAAGTACAAGTTTTTGGACTGAAAAACTGAGTTACTTAAGGAGGCCTCCAAAATAGTCATCAATAACTCCAAGTACTTTTACTTTTAAGTTTGTTCACTTTTACTCAAGTAATGTGTGACCAAGAGTAATTCTACTTTTACTCAAATCTAGAGCTGCTGTACTCTATTCACCCTGCTTATAGGCAAAAAATTAGCCTTATATGTGAAAAACAGGGGATACACTAGATTAGTGTACATGTTTGCTTCCTTCATTTTGAGGGATGTCATCAAGGGGACTAACGTTCCAGTGCCTTAAGCTAATTTCTACACTGCTGCACTCAAGAAAATCTAGTGGATAAACACTTAAATTCAATTTAGACCCTGAACAGTGAGAGATTCATCCACCGTGAACTGAAATGTGAGGTATTGTTGAAACTAGTCTGCTACTGAATAACAGACTTAAGGTCGAAGGTAAGCCTATTCACTGTTTATTCAATAAATCCCTTTGCAGCACTCAGACATGCTTCACTACAATAGTGCTGATATTTGGGTCAAGAGCACTTCTGGGTGTTTAACTGCGCACTGTACTTGCATTCTTGAGCACTGGAGCTAAACTCGGCCAGTGGAGGCCAAGAATGTGGATTGGGACACAGCCAAGGGGAGAGTCTGTGAGCCCAGCTGTCTTATTACATCTCAGGCAGAGTTTTTAGCCAATGCTATAGGGTTCCTCTTTAGCAGGGGCCACCAGCGAAGCCGAGGAGTGACCGGGCACAACATATGGGCCTCTGTTTATAGTCGGCACTTCTCATAAATCCAGAGAGGGATCCAAAAAAGAGTACGAAGACTGGGCTGCTCAGATGCTTCTATGTCTTCATACCCCAGGTATCAGATGTGGTTTGAGTAAAGACTCTTAAAGTGATATGGATACATATCCTGCTGTCTATTGGTTATTCTAATCTAAGCTGCATTAAAGCATATAGGACCAGGTTTCTGCAGAAGGGCAGCCTAGTAGGGCGGATTGATACGAAAGGATCAACATTTTTGATCCTGCTGTTTAGTTTTGAGTCCAAATGTTCGCATGAAAATATCAACACTAAGTTTTTCCTTTAGTCAGTAAACCGAACATCTGTCTTTGACGCTGAAAAGTGGAAAAGCACGACTGCAGCAAATGCAGAATAGGAACTACTTTTTCTTACGCCTACATTTTCTTATCGTCTGAGCTTATTTTAAGGGGAATTCCACCAAAATTCCTTCATAATTCAGTGTGTGAGATGTAAACAGAGAGATTCAGAGAGGTTTGGTGTGAAATGGTTCAGATGTCTTTACAGTGGTGGTGATAGGAACCAGGGGTCGTCATGACTACAACACAAATATAGACATTTTATTTACTATCCAGAACCACCAGTGAACCTACACGAGTCTTCTGAGTTTATATGGAATGTTGATGATGGAAAATAGTGGAAAATCTGAAATAATAAGTTTTCTTTGGGGACTATTTTGCCTCAAAACACCCTGCATGTATCCCTCCACCATGAATGGAGTTTAAAAATGAATGTTCACTTTGGTTTTTGGTATCACATCTAATAGAAAATGCCTACACTCTTAAAAAAGATGGTTCTTAAAGGGTTCTTTAGTTAAAACAGTGGTTCCATACAGAACCATGAACACTTAAAGGACCACTTGCATGCTTAAAGGGTTCCTTGCATGGTGAAATCGTTCTTCAGATTGATAGAGAATGTGTTGTATATGGTACTGTGTCGCACCAAAAAGGGTTCTACTATTGTTATTATGTCAAGCATGTAACAACAGAAGAACCCTTTTTAGGCATGCAAATGGTTCTTTAGGTGTATATGGCGCTACGTAGCACCAAAAAAGGTTCTGCTATTTTTATGATGTCTACAATAGAAGAATCTGAGGAACGATTTCAGCATGCAAAGAACAATTTAGGCATGCAAATGGTTCTTTAAGTGTATATGGTACTATGTAGCACCAAAAAAGGTTCTGCCATTCTGATGATGCCTACAATAGAAGAACCCTTTTGGTGCTATATAGAGCCATTTTCAAAAAGGTTCTATGTAGAACCATATACTCATTCTCCATCAATATGAAGAACCATTTCACCATGCAAAGAATGATTTAAGCATGCAAATGGTTCTTTAAGTGTATATGGTGTTATGTAGCACCCAAAAGGTTCTGCTATTCTCACAATGTCTACAATAGAAGAACCCTTTTGGTGCTATATAGAACCCATTTCGAAAAGGTGCTATTTACAACACATTCTCCATCAACATGAAGAACCATTTCACCATGCAAAGAATCATTTAAGCATGCAAATGTTTCTTTTGGTGTTCATGGTTCTATGTAGAACCACTCCCTTTACTAAGGAACCCTTGAAGAACTAAGTGAACTAACTGAAGTGCTCTAAGCTCTAATCTAACACTGATGCAAAGGCTTTCGAATATATTTGTATGTCCACATTTACTGTTTTTCAGTGTAGAAATCACAAAGAAGTCACATTTTTATATATAAGGAGATTTTTTAAAAGTATTAGTAACTGTGTTGGTATCAGATCTATCAGAATGATTGGTTTCCTTCTTCCCTGCAGCTTATCTGACAATACCGGGCTATAAAACAGCTTCAGCCCCCAGCAGAGCGGTTAAAGTTTGGACTACGGCCGCGAAACTCTGCACAAGAGAAACGCGTGACCGATTTCTGGATTTTTCTCTGCAGCTTCCTCTGTTTAACCCTGTTGTTGTTGTCATTGACGCCGCACAGTGAACGCAGCTGCTTCAACCTCCCCTCCCGCGTTTTTTCTCCCACCCATATTCAGACAAGCCCCGCCCTGCTGTGCTGTGATTGGCTAGAACGTCGTATTCACGTGTGGTTCCTGCCAATCGTCGTGTAGGAAGGCGGTTGTCCGCTGTAAACAACTCAAAACTTACTTACTCACTTTAAAATCCTCATTATTTTATTACCCTTATATTTTTTTCTGTACTTTTCCGCAATTTTTGTAAACGCAACTTATTTGTTCACTTTAAAATTTCATTATTTTAATATATTTATTTTTTTCTTTATTTTCCCTGCTATTTTTGTAAACACAACTTATTTATTCACTTTAGCTATGTCCGTTTTGGTTCATTTTTAACCACCACTATTTTTATTTCTTCGTTGCTATTATACAGCTTGCATGCACGTTTTTTTTCATTTTATTATTCGTTTTATTTTCTCCCAAGACCCTCCATTTGAAATCAATGTTTATGTTTGCTTTATTTGCATTCTTTTGTCTTATTTGAGCATTTAATTAGCTTCTTTTTTTGCCCTGCACCTTTATCAACAAAAGGTGCTTTGCAAAAAAAAAAAATGTTGAAAAAATGAAGGCTGGGCGCGGTTTCCCGGAATACGGGTGTGAAAAACAGCTCCTCCCCTCTCTGTCACACCCGTTGTAAGATTTGCTTTGCTGTTAACGGCAGCTAGGTTAGCGTACACATGCAGCGGTAGAGAACTCTGCTGTTAAATTACATTAACTTTTCAATACAGAGCAAAATGTCTCACACGGTTGTCACTACCAGAACAACCACGACCACAACGACCTCGTCGAGCGATGGAAGCTTCCTGAACACCGGCTACGTGAGGACTTACTCCGGGCTGCTAAAAGTCGCTCAAGTGGTGAGAAAATGTCACTTTATTGCTGTTATCCTGTGTTAAAATGGTTAAAATATGTGGATATTCTGTGTATGTCTTCTTAAATTAGCACAAAAACAGACGAGACTGAATTTAGCTTCATATTCGCCAGCTGGCAGTTCGAATTTTCCCGTTCCACCTTAAATGGTGCAGCAGTTCCATTCTGACGCGAGGCGCCCCAATGTAACTGCTGCACCATTTAAGGTGGAACGGGAAAATTCGAATAAGAAGCCAACTTCAGCCTCGTCAAAGCAGTCCCTTTATGAAAGGACAGGTACATTTGAGCTACTAAACATCAACATCTGCACAAAGAACACAAATATTAATACGTGAAATATTGTTTTCTTTGGTCCTCATGTTCTCTGAGGACAGATCTGAAGAAATCATTGAAATTCATCAAACCTAATAGCTGAAAAGTGCTCACTTCATCATATACAGTCTAGTCTTTAGACCATTTTTCATATACTGACTTACTAAAACAGAAGAAAATTCAGATTTACTCGTGAATAAATGTATGAAAACTACACCTAATCTGAAAAAACCTCAAATTATACTGTTAGATATTCTTCTAAGGCATAACTATACAAAAGTTCATCACTGTAAACCAATCAGAACAAGTTCTACAGCATTTTCCCTATAAATGTAGCTGTTGGTCATGAATGAGTTAACATGCGCAGATGGCTAAATTTCAGAGTAAAGTCCACTCCCATGCGCAGAGGTGGGTCATATAATAGCTACTGCTACTTTCAGTTGATACCTTTATGTCTATGGAAGTATCTCTGACTATGTATCTTTCCCTCAGTTCCATTTTAGTCCTTAATATTTAGTTGCTAATTTTTTTTTGTGTGAGGTTTAAAGGGGCATTCAGCAGATTTTTCAAAATTTCTGCATGATTAGATGGTTGGGATGTAAACAAAGTCATTCAGAGTGGTTTGGTCTTTTTTTTAAATCCGGTCGTGGTGAAGGGATACATGCAGGCTGTGGTGAGGCGACATAGTCCCTCTAATGAGCAAATCCTGTTTCATACATGGCACACAGACAAATGAAGATGCTTCCAAATAACTAATATGTGAAAAGGTAAATGACTGGGTTTGAGGTCTTACTTTGAGTCAAAAACAGTGTATAAGAAGAATTAAAATTAAGGAATATATTGCTAACTGAAAAACATAGACGAGTTGAAATTTTTCAAAATTTCATTCATTCATTCAGAGTGGTTTGGTGTGAATCACTACCACTGTAAACAATAGGAACCAGACATCCACCTCTAAAAGCTCCCTCACAGAAAGTTACTACATGAAATGGTTATGAATTCACTGCCTGATGACTGAGACACTGTTTTATGATAGTTTAGAGAACTTAAACTCCATTCATGGTGGAGGGATACATGCAGGGCGCTGTGAGGCAAAATAGTCCCCAAAGAAAACTTATTATTTCAGATTTTCCACTATTTTCCATCATCATCATTCCACATAAACTCAGAAGACTCGTGTAGGTTCACTGGTGGTTCTGGATAGTAAATAAAATGTCTATATTTGTGTTTGTAGTCATGGCGACCCCTGGTTCCTATCACCACCACTGTAAAGACATCTGAACCATTTCACACCAAACCTCTCTGTATGACTCTGTTTGCATCTCAGCGACTGATTTATGCAGAAATTTTCATTTCATTCTGCTGTGTTGGTTCAGCTCCAGTTCTGCTTTATTGTTGTCCACTCATCACTTTGGGGCGTTAGCATCTTGTTTCATACCAAAAGGATCCAAAGAGAGAAGAACAGAGCCATACAAATTCACTTCATATGCTTATAGACGCTGGATGGACTAGGAAGTTCCACTGCAGCTCTGTAGGGGGCAGTCAGGGTCCAGCTCAGTTCTGGACAGTGTCTGGGGAAGCAGGTGTGCAGCCAGGAAATGACAGATTAATAACAATAGGCCTCTGTGAAAGTCTGTCAGTAGTAGAGGCTTTTGGCAAGCATGGCCTCTCAGTGGACGCAGACCATGGTTAGTAGATGATTCATTATTCATGCTAAGTGTCATCATTAGTGTCCAGAAATGAAAAGGAAGCAACAGAATGAGAAATTAATGTTGTGAAATATGCATTTGTGCTGTAATGCAGGAAGTAGAGCGCTTTTCGGTACATGTAATACAGTATAAGTGAAATCATAACTCGTTGCGTAATATGCTGCTGTATTGCAGCATATTAGTAAGAAAAACAGTGTCAGGGAGACTAACTCAGTATTTTCCTGCCATGATACTTGAAACATGATTTTATTAGTTGACCCCTTAAATGTCCAGGGTCACCGGCAGGCCCAAAGTTTTATTACACACTTCTGTAATCTAAGAATAGCTCAGCCAGTTTGCACTGAAGCCCCTGTAGTTACTGAATAATAGGCCTTTGTATGTAATAAGCCTGGGATTTTAAGGGGTTAATACATTTGCCCCGCCCACAGGCGCACTGTGATGTCATCAGAAAATCAAAGGACGTTTCAGAGGTCGGGCTGAAGTCATTACATTTTGGTAGGAAATTATAGGAAAACAAGACTTTACTCTTTTAAATTATATATGATGAATCTTATGTAGGGCGGCACGGTGGCGCAGTGGGTAGCGCTGTCGCCTCATCTTGCTCGATTGGGTTCGATTCCCGGCCGGGTGACCAGGGTCCTTTCTGTGTGGAGTTTGAATGTTCTCCCCGTGTCTGCGTGGGTTTCCTCCGGGTACTCTGGTTTCCTCCCACAGTCCAAAGACATGCAGTCAGGCCAATTGGACGTGCTGAATTGCCCCTAGGTGTGAATGTGTGAATGTGTATGTCTGTCTGTCTGCCCTGCGATGGACTGGCGACCTGTCCAGGGTGTATCCTGCCTTCCGCCCAATGACAGCTGGGATAGGCTCCAGCATAGAGCTGGGCGATCTGGCCAAAAATGTTATCATGATAAACAAAATTCATATCGTTCGATATCGATACATACCGCGATAAATGTCAAATCATGATTTCTTTCACGTTCGAAGGCTGATTTTGCTCCTGGGTGGTTAATCACTTGTGGTCCGATCATGACAAACACTCGGCAAACATTTCACTAATCTGTCATGGAAGAGTGGGAGAAAGTTTCTGAGCTGTTTTATCAGCTGGAAAAGCGCAGCTGCAATTTTTATAATAGTCATGATTTAAGAAAGAAAACAGATTATTTTAGCTGTCTGGTGTCGAGCGCTCGGCTACCCCGCTACAAACGCTAAACAAGTGGCCAACAACAGAGCTAAACTCTTTAGTTTCTCAACAACGTCAACTCTGTTCGGGAGGTCACTGCTGTCACTCCTACCACATCCATGTCAGAGCAGATCACAGTATTCAGACACCAGCTAGACGGCTGGGTTTCTCTATACTATCGTGGTAGTTCAAGGGGTGAACCGCAGTATATCTGACGCTCGCTGTGTAAAAGCATTATCTGCAGTGTGAATCTCTCACACCAGTCACAGAGTCCTCCTTTTAGGCATGTTTAAACTGAAAGCAGTGATTTTGTGTCTTGTTTGATCTACAGTATCATCAATTCACCGTGTTGTGCCGGAGCGCTGCTTCAAGTTAGCCAGCAGCTAAAAACAGCTAGCCTGGAAAGACAGTGCTCTCCCGCTCTCCAACGCCTCACAGCTTCCTCAGTTTACTTTCGAACATGAACCCACTTCTTTCTTTCACTTTCGTTGCTCAAGTATGCACTAATACTAAAATATGACGGTTTGGTTCTGTAACACGGCGCTGCAGACGTGATTTAACACCGCTAAAGCTGTTAGGATGTTAGTAAAGAGGTGAGTTCGCTGTAGGTCAGTACAGTTACGCCACTGACCTCGTCACTCACACTCGGTCACAGGAGAACAGATCGCCTGTCGCTCCGCTCAAACAGGGACTGTATAACTCCACGTTTCAGACGTTGCTAAAGTATATTTGGCGACCCTTTTTTTTACCCTTGGCCCCCTCCCTCTCTAATCAAGTCGAAAAACTCAGAAGTGCGCCCTCTCCTGGCGACAGCAGAGTAGTGTCGCTTTCCTTGCAGTAGAAAACACCACCAGGGCTTTCGCTGAATGTGGAAGTGTGAGAATGGTGTATTATATCGAACATTTATCGAACCTGTCTTATCGCTCTATCGAGGAAAAGATATATCGCGATACTTATCGTTATTGTTTTATCGCCCAGCCCTATTCCAGCACCCCACCGCGACCCAGAAGGATAAGCGGTTTAGATGATGGATGGATGGAATCTTATGTAATGTAACCAGGAACAGTTTGATTTCAAGTTGATTTTAATCTATAAGATGCAACTTTAATGTAAGCTTTCCTTGTTAGTGTCATTACTGAGTGAGTGAGAATATAAACAGGCTAAAACATGGTGATTGTGCGCTGCTGTGAGTCGCCCTGTAAAGCCTGAAATAATCATTTAAAAGTCAGAGGCATCAAGTTTTTCACACCACATCGTACGTCTTTATAGGGCTGAACGATGTGTGGAAAATATCTAATTGCGATTTTTTCGACTAATATTGCGACTGCAATGTAAATAGCTATTTTTTTTAAATTGAGATTTAGGCTTGATTTTTTTAGAAGACCAGAACATCCACCTTTTTTTGACTTGAGTGTCAAACTGCCAGTAAGTTGTGGTTGTGATGTCACAGCACATGTAGGTTTGGTTGCCTCTGATTGGTCTGACTCACCTACATGCATTTCGAACCATGAACACTCAAAGAACTTTGTGCATGCTTAAATGGTTCTTTGCATGGTAAAATAGTTCTTCAGATTGATGGAGAATCTGTTGTATATGGTTCCATATAGAATCTTTTTGAAAAGAGTTCTCTGTAGGACCAAAATGGTCTTCTATTGTTATAAGCTTGACATCAACAAGCAACAAAGTAACAGTACCAGAACCCTTTTTGATGCTATACAGAACCACATACAACACAGTCTCCACTCTGAAGAACGATTTCACCAGGCAAAGAACTTTTTATGCATGCAAATGGGTCTGAGTGTTCATGGTTCTGTATGGAATGACTGTCTTTACTAAAGGACCATCTTTTTAAGAACCTTCAAGAACTATATTTTAAAAGTGTCGGCTGTAAATGAAGAAAATTGCAGCTCTTGCGATTTGAAAATTGCGATTTTGATATAAAACCGATTAATCTTCCAGCCCTACGTCTTTACGTATAAATGTAGCAGAGTAGTGTCGCTTTCCTTGCAGTAGAAATGTCACCAGGGCTGTCGCTAGACTGTAGAAGTGTGAGAACGGTCTATTATATCGAACGTTCATCGAACATTTCTTATAGTTCTATCGAGGAAAGTTATATCGCGATCATTATCGTTATCGTTTTATCGCCCAGCCCTAACCCCTGCCCATCTCTTCACTGTGTCTGTGAGAGCAGGTAGCCCTCCTCATTGCCTTCCTGTGTGTGCACTGTTCCCGATCATGGACAGACTTCTCAGCCTTTCGGTACTTTGAAGTTGTCACTCTGTGGTTCTTCTGCGCCTTCCTCATCTTCCTCATCATGTACATCCTCAGACTGCAGACCAAGATTCCCTGCATTAACTGGACACTGACGGTGAGCGGACTTCAGTAACCTCCTCAGCGTAGCCGAGGAGCTCTGGTGTCAGGACGAGTGTTGTCTCTTTGAAATGTGTTAAGTTCAGCGTATCTGTCTGTATGTCTGTCCTGCAGGAGTTTCTGCACTATGCTCTGGGCACCATCCTGGTCTGCATCGCCTCCATAGTAGCCGCTGTGAAAAGCTCCGGTATCTCCGCCCTCGTAGCCGGATCTGTGAGTAATCACAACAGCAGTTCTTCGTTTAGCACGTCCCTTATTAAAACAGCAAGTTTGTGGCTATTCTAGGACCTTCTTCTAGGTGGGGCTATAATGGGGCCACAGTTTCTGTTCAGGGGCCAAATAAACGCCTGTAAATTCAAGGAGCTCCACAATTACCTCTTAATATCTCTAAATACATTTGTATACATTAATCACATTATACACATATATTATGCATTGTGCAGCAGACATGGCAAAATATATAATCATAAGGCTAATCATTTCTGAACTACCAATAACAGACACTCAAACTTGTAAATAGCTACAAACGGGGACAAATTCAGTAACCAAGCCCTTGTATAGGGTCCACAGGCCTGGTCCTCCCGAGAACATTTTTGTGATTTTAAAGAAAAAAAAAAAAACATCTCAATGCCCTCTGAGAATAAAATACAGGGAAACAAGTAACACTTGCTTTAAAACAGGAGTGCCTAATCCTAGTCTTGGAGATCTACCACCCTGGAGAGTTCAGGTCCAACGCAGCTGCCTCTAATATTCAAATGGCTCTCAAGGCTTTCAAGCTAAACTCTGCCTGCTGTATCTCCAGGACCAGGATTGTTTCTTTATGTTTTATTCTCTTGTAGAATGATTCAGTTCACTTTCAGTAGAAATCAGTGCAGTAGTACCGGATTGTAGTGGTTGCAAACAGTGATCGTTTGCACACAGAGGTTCTGTTTATCTGTAGCAATAAAGGGGACCTATTATGCTAATTTTCTTTTTTTGAGATCTAGATTAGATTTACAGCTTCAGTGTTCCAGCAACACATTGTTTTCCTCATACTTTCTATTCTACTCATCTCTATTCATCCTCTGTCTAAAACGCTCTGTTAGAGCTCCTGTGTCTTTAAGCCGCACCTCCTTATGAGCCCAGTGTGCTCTGATTGGTTAGCTTGTCCACTCTGTTCTGACTGGTCGACCTCCAGAGCGGTTCCACCCCTGTCCTGCAGTCTGCTCTCCTGAGCAGCTGTAAACTTCGCTGTGGCTGAAATAAAAAAAAACAGAAAAGCATAACAGGCCCTCTTTAAGGCTCAGATTTCCTGTAGCTTTAGCTACATTGATTTTATCCAGCAGCACTCCTTGAGTTTATATATCAATCCATGATGTGCTTGGGTGTGGTGAGTGACACGGGCATGTAAAGGGCCAATCAAATGACTTCTGGGGCCAGTGCCTCAGTGGCTCCACCCCTGGGATGTAGTACGTCACATCACAGCTGTTCAGAGCAGGAGTGTCCAGTCTTATCCACCGAGGCCGGTGTGGCTGCAGGTTTTTTTTCCAAACAAGCTCCAGCTTTGACCCTATGGGGATGCGATTGGACACCCCTGAGCTAGAGCATATCCAGAGAGGGGAGGGTTCTCACACACAGCACAGTCTGCCCAGCTGCTGCTGTCATGTGCTGGTGTTGCAGTAATAAAACACATCCTTTTTCAAGAGGAAGGAAAACACCTGAGCAGTCAAATGGAACAAGCAGAAAAAATAGAATTAAAAAGAACAATAAGCAGCAGCTCTTTTGCATTTACCTTTTCCGGTTTTTGGCTGGTGCTTAGAACACTACAAACGTCTGAATGGGTTCAGAGTGAAATATCTTAAATAAAGTTAAATATCTTAATATGGAAAAGCCACCTCACTCTCTGAGAATTCAGATTGTCATTTTTGGGTTAAATGGCTGGCTAATACAGGACCAATGTGACCAGAAACCACATACGGTTTTTATGACCTCATTTTTCTCTTCCTCCTCTCTCTACTGAAGAATACCTTTCTCATTCGTAGTGTATATAGTTTATACTGAGAGTGGTAACCTAGTTTCATGGGAAAGTCAGTTATGTATTTTTAGCTTATGAGAAGTATTTACTTCTGCCTAAGCTTAGAGTAGGAAGTGTATTTATCTATTAATTTTATTGTATTTATGTATAGGTTTTAAAGCCATTTATTTATTTATTGTTTAATAAGAAAAACATGGATTGTAACACAAGGATTATATATACACATATGTATCTGCAATGACTTTACAGTATAAACCGATCAGGCATTACATTATGACCACCTCCTTGTTTCTTCATTGTCCATTTTATCAGCTCCACTTACTATATAGGTGCACTTTGTAGTTCTACAGTTACAGACTGTAGTCCATCTGTTTCTCTGCATACTTTGTTTTTATTACTTTTACCCTGTTCTTCAGTGGTCAGGACCCCCATGGACCCTCACAGAACAGGTACTATTTGGGTGGTGGATCATTCTCAGCACTGCAGTAACACTGACGTGGTGGTTGTGTGTTAGTGTGTGTTGTGCTGGTACGAGTGGATCAGACACAGCAGTGCTGCTGGAGTTTTAAACACTGTGTCCACTCACTGTCCACTCTATTAGACACTCCTACCTTGTCAGTCCACCTTGTAGGTGTAAAGTCAGAGACGATAGCTCATCTGCTGCTGCACAGTTTGTGTTGGTCATCCTCTAGTTCTTCATCAGTGGTCACAGGACGCTGCCCACAGGATGCAGTTGGCTGGATATTTTTGGTTGGTGGACTATTCTCAGTCCAGCAGTGACACTGAGGTGTTTATAAACTCCAGCAGCACTGCTGTGTCTGATCCACTCGCACCAGCACAACACACAATAACACATCACCACCACGTCAGTGTTACTGCAGTGCTGAGAATGATCCACCATCCAAATAGTACCTGCTCTGTGAGGGTCCATGGGGGTCCTGACCACTGAAGAACAGGGTAAAAGGGGGCTAACAAAGTATCGGTGTATGTTACAATTACAGTTATAATTTAATAGAAAAGCGATCATACAGTCAGTTTTTTCCTGTTTTTATTATTTTTTGAAAGAATATATATATATATCTATCGTATATCACGTGTGTATATCACATATATCATGTACAGTCAGTGGTTCAGCTCCTCTGTGATTGTAGCCTGTTGCTCTTGTTCATGCAGCTTGTGGGTTCTTGTTACAGTGGAGGATCCCAAGAGAAACTGGAGCTCCACCAAGCTGCTGCCTTTGTCAGTTTGCTGCTTGTTGATTTATCAGTAGTTCTCCGCGAGCGTCGGTCGAGATATTTGAATTAGAGCGCTATAATCACAGATTCTGTCAGAGCGACATACAGCGCTGCAGCTGGGCTTCTGCCTGCACTACTGCAGATGGGTCGAACTAGGAAAATGTGTTAAATAAAAATGGCTGCTGATAAATAATTAGTATGTTAACTTTGGAAGCCCTAATAAACATATTACTGAGAAACAGACACCAGAATCTATAACAGATCTTATATTTTTCTTTTTAGGTTTTTGGCTTTATTGCAACTTTTCTTATGGCCCTCAGCCTCTGGACATCGTACAAGGTCACGTGTGGTTCGCAGCCAACCAGTGAGTCTGATTATGTACTTATTTTACAGTTATTGTAATGTTAGCAGTTCATGTTTGAGCTGCTTCACAAACAAAGTCTTCGTGAAGGAAACTGGTTATTTAAATAAATCATCAATATTTGTTTTTTTGTTTTCGTTCACTCTATAAAGGCTGTATTATTCTGATTTGCAGGTGCAGCTGTGTAACGGAACCCAACTCAACCTAAGGTCATGAGAGGGAATGTTCCGGTACCTGTCAAGTGCCTCAAAAGTGTTGATATTTTCACCCTCTCCTGAATGCTGCACTATATATAATTTGTAAAGTTCAGCCAACAATCTAATTTAGCCATTTTCTCTCCTTACGCTAAATGTAGTCGATCAGCCAAGACATGTTTGGTGTCTGAAGTTTGCTTCTTTGGTTTTGCACTGGAGATACGAGGCTAACGTAGTCTTTTTTTCATAGACCCAGTTTTTCTCCCCAGTTTAGTCATGTCCAGTTCACACTATGCCACCGAGCCGGGAGGGTGAGGGTTAGCACATGCTCTCTCTGAGACACATTAAGCTCCACCACATCTTTTCAGACTGCCACTAATGCAGCATCATTGGAGCTTAGCATACTTACAAGAGAGTGCTAACTGCTAATTCTATTACATCAACTAACAGGCACCCACGTTTTCTAGTGTCGTGCAGAGTGATGGACCCACCCACCCATAGAGATAGAGGACAGTTATGATCTTATGGACCATCGCTTACGGAGCGATTGTCGTCGCTGCAGAACCAAAAGCCCAGGGGGTACGGCTGGATCTGATCCAACTCCTCCCACATTGTGTATTAACTGGTCTGAATTAGATCCAACTCCACCCCGCCCCGCTATACTTGCCTTTCAGATTGAAGTGAAACGTAATCAAGTGCGAATGTGTCATATGTGCATTCTAGTGTTTAAAAACGTTCAGCGTTTTCAACTAGAACCTGTCTATCATAAGTATGCTTGAGATGTAGGCTTACAGAACGGACTTTGTACCGGAAAGTAAAAAAAGCTTTTCAAGTTCTGACGAATGAGTGAACGCCATGAATTATGGGCGGTTATAAAGGCTGTGTTGTGGCGTTCAGGACGGAGCAACATCGAGAAAAAAAACAAAAACACCAGCAACACCTGCGAGTTTCCCACAGATAAAAACACGTCAGGGTAGACCAATGAAATAAGTCGTAGGCGGAAAACGTAAGTGACACATACTAGTTTAAAGACCAATAGAAATGCGATGATTTTAGACCAATGAAAAGAAGACGTGGGCGGAGTTGGATCAGGTCCGACTCCACCCCTTCGGACATGTGGTTCTGCAGTGAGTGATAGTTGCTTACGGATGGCTGTGGCATCACAAGGGATCAAACTCCCTATCTCCCTCACAGTGGGGCCGATGCTTAGGCCTCGTCCACACATAACAGGATGTTTTAATAAAGTGTTTTTTCTCTCTTTTCAAAAAAATCACACAGAGAACGCAAAAATAATCACATAGCATGCTAGCCTAGCAGGAGGTGATAATACAGCCGAAGCAGAGATTTTCTAACAAATTGACGCCGGTATTGCAAACACTGCAGGCTTTGACTTCCAGACCATCAGACCTCCGTAACTTGATATTTCAAATAGATTCAAAGTCCGATTTCTGCCAGAAAATAAAAGCTCAAAAAATAGCCTGCCGCTCGCTGTCGTGCAGTTGTTTATGTTGCCATATGCCTCCATCTCTGAAACATCCACACAGTCCTGATCAGGCAGAGAAGCTGAGTTTTTCTAGCTTTTCACCACATTTGAACTACAATTCAGATATACGACTTGATGATCTTTATTCCAAATCTGACTTTGGTTATATACCTAGTATATGTTTAGAATTTTCTGAATTCTGCATGCTCAGTAAATGAAAACATTAGCAGACATGCACAAGTTAGCGGCATGATTTCAGCGTTTTCAAAAAGCTGTGTCCACACACAAACACTGAAAATAGACTTTTCAAAAGCCTCAGTACTAGAGAGCGTTTTCAGAACGTTTTCAGAGACCGGAAATTGAGTTTTTGTGTTGACAGGAGGACAAAACAGAGAAATACTACGGAATTTCCAGGTACGTGTGGATAGTTGAGCCAGGGAGCTCCCTAAGCTAATGAAGCTAACAAATAATGGAAGCTTATACCTCACCAGTTAGCACCTTGTTAGCTACATAAGCTAATGAAGCTAACAAATAATGGAAGCTTATACCTCACCAGTTAGCACCTTGTTAGCTACATAAGCTAATGAAGCTAACAAGTAATGTAAGTTTTTACCTCACCAGTTATCACCATCCTATTACATGGCTAAGTCTTGACACTCTTGCTACGAAAGCGATCAGCCAAGTAAAATGATTTGTACATAAACAAACGGCTGCTACTGATTTTAGCCATGCTAACATACATTAGTCTGTGTTTATAGATAACAGTGAGTCATACAGTGACAGAAACCACATTATTAAGTCTATGGGAGACACTAAACAACTCCACACGCTTCGAAACATCAAGTTAGCACCAGGCTAATTGTCAGGATATTAGCTTCCAGTACTCGTTAGCTACATTAGCCTCGTAGCTCCAGTGCTAAAAGCTAAAGAAGTAAACTTCAGACGCCGAACACGCCTGATCATCTACGTTTGGGGTAAGGACTGAAACTGTGGCTGAACATTTTCCTTTTATGAGCAACATTTTTACTGCAAATCTAAAAATTCCAGAACCGATGCTTCTCAAGTTCTCCGAACTTGGAAGTGTTCAGCACTGCAGCGTTAGTGTGGGGTTTACGGTAGAGTGATGATGAAGACGGTGCTCTAGCTTTGGTGTGCAAATTGGTTTTATGAAAAAGCATAGGGGCCATTTATATACATTCATATAAAGACTGTTTACATTTATTTATTGAAGAGAATTTGAGATGCTGTTGCTTAAATTCACAGCCTGCATGTTTAGACTCTGAAGCCTAAAGCCAGCGCTGCGTTAGGAGCGATTCACAGTGTTATTATTGTATTTTGTCTGCCCTTAACTTCCTGTGTGGAGTGTATTCATAGGCTCTCTCTCTCTCTCTCTCTCTCTCTCTCTCTCTCTCTCTCTCTCTCTCTCTCGCTCGCTCGCTCGCTTTTTTTAAATATATATATTTAATCCTACATTCTGGTGTGTTGTGCTGGATTATTGACTCTGTTATTGCAGAGTGAAAGTATAAAATGGACAGAAGTCAAATCTGTCTTTGTGTTTTTTTTTGTTTTGTTTTGTTTTTTTTTATATACTGTGCTGTGAAAAAGTATTTGCCCCCTTCTAATCTGTGTATATTTATCACATTGAATGCTTTCGGATCCTCGTACAAAACAGTTTTCAAATGATCGTTTCATTTATTGAAGGAAAACAGTTTCGCAACAACTGTATCACCTGTGTGGAAAAGTAATCGCCCTCCCTAAACTTAAACCACATTTAGGCGCAACAACTGTAACCAAATGCTTCAGAAAACAGGCTTTGGCTGTGTCCAGAAACTACTGCTGCTCTCCTATCCTGGAGGATTGTGGAGGAGTCAAGGGGAGGACAGGAGCAGGAGGAACTGAGAGAACTGATAGAGCTTTGTGAGTTTTATGAGCGGGGATGGGTCAAGGCTCACCGCTGTGCCAAAAAGTGCTGTTTGTTACCAGCATAAAGTTCAAAAGCTCATATTGGAATGATGAGGTTCTTCAAGGGTACTCTGGTAAAGATAATATAAAAACATGAACACTCAAGGAACCATTTGCATGCTTTGGTTCTTTGCAGGGTAAAATTGTTCTTCAGATTGATGGAGAATGTACTGTATATGGTTCTATATAGAACCTTTTTTGAAAATGGTTCTATATAGCAAAAAGGCAGCAAGCTTGACATAATAACAATAGAAGGACCCATTTTGGTGCTGTATAGAACCGTATACAACATATTCTCCATCAATCTGAAGAACGATTTCATCATGCAAACAGCCATTTAAGCATGTATATGGTTCTTTGAGTGTTCATGGTTCTATACAGAACCATTGTCTGTACTAAAAACCCTTTAAGAGTATATATTTATATATATTGTGTTTTTGTGCTGTTTCCAACTGAATACATGTGAGACACATTTTACTACTGACTGCTTTGTTTTGTTAGGATTTCACACAGTGTCCCAACTTTTTTTGAACTGGGTTTGTACAAGTTAAACAGAATGAAAAGCATAGTTGTGATATCACTCTAAAATCTGGACTTTGGTGAGGCCAGACTGTTTGGGTCAGGAATGTTGCTAGCTGGGTGGGGTTCTACAGATGCAGGAAAAAGCTGAGGCTGATCCGCAGAAAGAGTGGAGGAAAGAGGAAGGAAACCGCTGTCATCTGTTACAGGAATACTGCAGCTAAAGATGCTAACAGTACCGTTAATGAGTGGAAGCTGGAGGCTCCAGTTAACATGATGGTGCCGAGATCACACTGACTGATCCACAATGGTTTCAGCAGTTGTTAGTCACATTAGCATAAACTAATACTCAGAATAAAGTTATGTGATCTTGGCCACTTTTTACTGTGGGAATTACTTTATTTGGCACTTGTGCGGGTGAAGTAATACAAATAATACAAAGCACTAAAATTATATGAAATAATAGTGAACATAGCGCTGTTGCTTCAGTTAGACCACAGGTGTCAGGCTCCAGTCCTCGCGGGCCAACACACTGCAGACTTCAGCACTGCCTCATTAAACACACCTGATTCAGCTCATCAGCCTTCATGAGCTGAATTCAGAGCATTAGATGAGGGTAAACACTGATCTCTGCAGCACTTTGGCCCTGAAAGAATTTAGTGTCAGTGAAGACAAATCAAAACAAAATAAACTTTTTGAATTTAGTTTAAATTTATTTCCTTCTAAAAACTATATATAACATTAAACTCATTCATAGGAAAAAGCAAGTTATCCCAACAGTGCCTCAGGTGTGTATGTGTATGTATGTATGTATCTATATTTATATTTATATATATTTATATACCCTTCAAATGTAGCATATGTCCATCCATATGTGCTACATTTAAAGGGTCCATATTCTACATTTTTTTCTTGTATCTTATTTTCTCCCTTTGAGCTCCACTTAATTTGTGTACCAAAAACATTCATAATTAATTTTTAAATGATCATTTTCTATCCTCATTTTATCCCTTAAAACCCCTCAGTTTTTGTTACTGTGCCTTAAAACTGAAATATGTAAATTACCTCTGTTCTGATTGGCTGTCTTGTATTGAGCCTCATTCAAAAAGCAGTCCAGGCTGAAACACTCCTTATAGCTTCAGTATGAATAGGCGGGGCTAAACTGCTGAAATACACTATATTTCCAAAAGTATTCACTCACCCATCCAAATCATTGAATTCAGGTGTATAAAACCGAGCACCCAGGCCTGCAGACTGCTTCTACAGACATTAGTGAAAGAATGGGTCGCTCTCAGGAGCTCAGTGAACTCCAGCGTGGTACCATGATAGGACGCCACCTGTGCAACAAGTCCAGTCGTGAAATTTCCTCACTACTAAATATTCCACAGTCAGCTGTCTGTGGTATTATAACAAAGTGGAAGCGATTGGGAACGACAGCAACTCAGCCACGAAGTGGTCGACCACGTAAAATGACAGAGCGGGGTCAGCGGATGCTGAGGCGCATAGTGCGCAGAGGTCACCAACTTTCTGCAGTCAATCACTACAGACCTCCAAACTTCATGTGGCCTCCAGATCAGCTCAAGAACAGCGTAGAGCGCTTCATGGAATGGGTTTCCATGGCCGAGCAGCTGCATCCAAGCCTTACATCACCAAGCGCAATGCAAAGCGTCGAATGCAGTGGTGTAAAGCGGTGTAGAGCAGTGGAGACGTGTTCTCTGGAGTGACCAATCACGCTTCTCCGTCTGGCAATCCGATGGATGGGTCTGGGTTTGGCGGTACCAGGAGAACGGTACTTGTCTGACTGTGCTGAGTGTAAAGTTTGGTGGAGGGGGGATTATGGTGTGGGGTTGTTTTTCAGGAGTTGGGCTCGGCTCCTTAGTTCCTGTGAAAGGAACTCTTAATGCTTCAGCAGTCCAAGGGACAGCCCCTTCCTGTTCCACCATGACTGCGCACCAGTGCACAAAGCAAGGTCCATAAAGACATGGATGAGCGAGTTTGGTGTGGAAGA